AACACTCTTCTGTTCCCCCCCCCCCCTCTCGACTTTTTTTCAATTTGATGTTCCTTCCCCTCTGTGAAGCCTGAAGTCAACTAAAGGGGTAATGATAAATATCATAAAGCCTGCCATTTGATATAAATAATTCTTCCTTATCTTCTATCTTTTCTCAAATGAATTCAATTACATTGATGTTGATTTTTAAATCATTCTTTCAAAAAGGCACTGACCAGTGACATTTTTGTGTGGAAGATCGACCACAGGCTTATGGTTCTATAAGTAAGATTCCAATAATTAAATTAGCTCAAGGTAACAAACATAAGGCGAAAAAGTTATGCAGATAGTGTACTCTACCATAAATACTGCTTTAGAGTGAGCCTTGAGAAATTGTTTAATTAAGTATTCTGGTGTAAGGTGTGTGGCGAAATAATAATTAATCAAGTTAGTTCCCACCGGAATCTTATAGGCTTCTTTTAGAATACTTACTACTTATTATAAATATAATCATCTCCACTTTACCCAACTCTTTGAAAATGGGGATAAAATAGCTTAACAAAAAAATCTTCGCATTTTCACGAATGTCACTTGGCTCAAACTTCATATTTCGTAGTAAAATAAAAGCAGTGAAAAACCTTATCGTTCACTTTCGGAAAGCTTAATCATGTCCAGGACCACGCCATAAATTATTATCGACTAATAATCAAATAACCCTTCTGGCACTTATTGTTTATTAACACATCGGTAAAGGGATAGTGATGCAAGAACATGGCTGAAGCAAAGAAATCCTTGCGTGATCGAAAAGTCTGGAAGGTGCAGTAGAGTTGCCAATCCCATTAGGGAGCAAATGAAGCCACGATTGTAGAGACTTCCCAGCCAATCAGCGACCAGTAGTCGTGGAATTACCAACATCGTCGAATTTGAATTTAATGACTAAGCTCCCTGTCTGTAAAACACGCACCCAAAGTAGACGTGTTCCACGTCCTACATCTGGCCCCTTAGCTAATCCTGGAAGCCTTTCCAAACTAGGAGAATTTGTCATAGAGATTACCGAGACTAAGAAGCATAAATGCGAGTGTATTATAGAATACAATATAGTCAAGACAATATATAACCAAATGGCATAAAAGTTGGAAAGATTTAAAGATCTCCAAGGAAGCATGAGTGGGAGAGAGAGAAAGCACCCATCTTGCCACAGTGACTAATTCTTCTTCTAAGAGGGCCATCGTATGCCTGCATGCCTGCTCGCCAGGATTGAGAGGTGCGGCCGTACAACTCTGTGTGCAGCGACCGTACGATTGGGAGGTGCGGCCGTACAACTCTGTGTGCAGCGACCACAACTCTGTGTGCAGCGACCGTACAAACAGTGGCCAATCACTAGAACCTCGGGACAAGCCTTGTGGGACACGTCATCGCATGCCTGCACGCCAGGACTGGGAGATGCCAGGATTGGGAGGTGCGGCCGTACAACTTTGTGTGCAGTTCGCCAGGATTGGGAGGTGCGCCGTATAACTCTGTGTGCAGCGATCGTACAAACAAAAAGGTGCGGCCTTACAACTCTGTGTGCAGCGACTGTACAAACAGTGATCATAAAGTAACCTCCTTTAACCTAATCCCCCATCCTGATCATGAGTAGCTCCCTGTGTGCACACTTTACGCATAAGATATGTACTGAATAAAGTGCTGCGTGCGACACGTCAGTTTCCTCCGTATCGAATAAACGTATTCCTTGCTACACGTCTGTTTTCCGCTACTGAATAAATGTTCCGTGCTACACGTCTGTATCCTCTGTAGCTGGGCTATAGCTTAGCTGGTTCTGGGAGTCTAGCTAGATGTTGGAGAATCTGCCATAGAGATTTCTGAGTCAGTCAGGCTTCACTAGTGTAGCAATCCGCTATAAGGGTGAGCCCTAATTGAGTTTATTTCTAGTCTGGATATTCCAGTAACTAAGGGTAAGTTAATGTTGTCCTGCATGGTGCCAATAAAGTTGTCAACGCGATGTAGGGATTGAGATTATGACATGAAGGAAGGTTCACAAAGAGGGTATTAACTAGAACAATTTATTTTTATATCACACGAATAGCTAATCGAAAAGTCAACAAAAAGCCGGTAAATCAATCATACTATCAGATAGCCTTAATAAAAGTCACTAAACTTCATACATTTAGGTGTTACATTCAACATTATTTTAATAATAATTTAACTAGCAACTAAGTTTTTATCAAGAAGGCAAAAGTTCTCAAAGAACCTAAAAGTTCAAAAAAAACAATGAAAAGTCATATTTATCAACCCAAAATGAATAGTCTATCTAATTTTTAGGAAATTAAGCAAACTAAATTCGAAAAAATGCGAACTGAACAATTTGGCTACATGCGAATTGGTATTAAGCTGAACCCAGTAGTAAGTTGGTCTGTTTTACTCAAAACATTTAACGGATGAGTAGACTAAGTACTACAATTTATTTAAATTTCAAATGAAGACTATTCACTATAAGTCGCTGTTTCTTCAATTTATTCATAAAAATGATGCTTAGATTCACTTTTTGGTTTTTGCGCTACCCACCTTGAAGAGAATGGGATCGAGTCAGCAAAGTAGCGCTGAAGAGGTGAGTCCACTTATAAATATAAATAAATAAACAAATATGCATATTTGCAAAAAAATGGTCTTACTTTTAACAGCCTGTCAAAGATCTGACGTCCATCTTATCATCCATTATTGATGCGATAGAAACAGCAGATGTAGAACGATTGCAAGATCTTATGGAGAATGAACCAAATCTTGCGAGAAACGCTTTCATGAAAGCTCTTCTCTACGCTGAGTCATCGGGGAGCAAGGAATGTGTCCATCTCCTACTGAAATACGATCATGATCTCTTAGCTAGAGACTCATTCGGTTGTACCACACTTATGATCAGTGCTATATTCGGTCGTTACAACTTAGTTTCTTACTTTGGAAATCAAATTCCTTCTGAAGAAGTCATCACTCTGGCGGAAGAAGCCTTGCCGTATGCGTCTTTTAAGGTCAGTTTATGGAGACAAATAATCCTACTTTATCCAAGTTGCATTTCTCATTTAATGTCTACCTTTTTTTAACTTCCTATAGAAGCACTTTTCGACCGTTAAGCTACTGTTCAAATTCATTCTTGGAGGTGCAGACATATTCCGAGATCCTTTTGGAATTGAACTCATGCAGAACACACTCGATTCAACACCTAAATCCATGGTACAGTATGTGCAAGAGAATATAATAAGAGACGATGATGACATTAAAGAGTGGCGGACTAGAATCTTCATGAAATTTATCTTAAATATGTTTGCAATATTTGACGAACAGGATCATATATTTTATGTGGAGGACTTGATGAATAGACACTTTAATGGCGTGGCGAATTATGAGGAGTTTAGATGTAATTGTATCGGATTGGATTGTTCAAAAGCGCAAATGGTTTATGACGAATATAAAGACTACGTAATCAATAAGCCTATCGAGCACAAATTATGTGTAAAATCATTTTAGTTAAAATATCGTCTTATAATAATAATAAAGGAACTTCTTTTTAACACACTTCTTTGCTTAATACAGACAAGGAGGGTGCGATCTTAATGAGTAAATTTCAACGTATTTGGCATGAAAGTAGAATGAAGCACGAAAGGGTACAAAGAAAACTGCTGTGATGTAATTAGGTGAATCTCAAGACTAGCCTTCTCATTGACCAACGGCCCTCCTCTATTGTGCTCCCTGTTGACAAGTGGCTCACAGCAGCGACGTGCTTGGTCACTAACACCGGGCGACTATTCACATACTAAATTTCAAACTTAATGAATGATATTAGCATGATCAAATTTAATTAATTAAGATTATAAAATCCTGCCCCTCGTTAACTGCTACACTTTTGATTACATTAGCTAAGCATCTAGACATACTGATCGCAGTGTAGAGGAACTGGTGACCAGACGACGAAATTCTGAAAGTAATCAATTCTTGTCCCGAAGTCCCACTATCGTTGTTGGTTATTCCCCAGCGCAACTCGGCCTAATATGCTTCAATTTGGCATAATTAAGGCATGAACATGAGGTTTGCATTGCATAGGAGAGTATTTAAACACGTATTCAATAAATATACAGCCATAAAAGGTTTACTTTTAAAGGTAGCAAAAAATCTACTAAGTCTGAATACAAAAAAGGTGTCTAATTTCTCTATACCACTTTCATTCGGGCAGTATGATACACTTTTCGTAGCATTTCCACATCCAAATCAGGCGAAAGATGTGTTGGTAGAAGGGATTGAATGGCCTGTGTCAACTCTGTCCAACCTAGGACTTCGGCCAAAGACATGGTGCGATGCAGCTCCTACCAATAGACAAAATCATTTATTACTACTTAATAAGTATAAGTAGAATTGTTGTTAACAAAAACCCACCTTCAAAAAGTACTCAGATTTCTCTGGTAGTCGCTTACACAGACGAAATATTTTATTTACATCCGCTGATGGACCATTTGTGTTATTTAGCCAAGTTGAATACTGAAATTCCGATCCGACTAAAATTAGAATACACTACTTATTTTACATAAAATTAATTAAGTAGGTGGGCTACAGAATTCTCCCTACTTGTCGATGAAGCGGCAGGAAGAATGTAGCTCGGTCTTTCGAGTGATCCAACAGGAAAAGGGGTTATCTTCTTTTCCACATTGTATACTTCATGACCCTCAAAATCCCCCGAGGAAGCGAGAAAGTCAAATGGACCTAGCCAGGCCACAGCTTTGCTTTCTGAAAAGAAAAATAATATATCAGAAATTGGCAAGTGTCTTTTGTTTACAACATCCAAAAAGGACATCTGATAGTAAAGCACTACTTAAAGTTTAATTTTAGAATGATACTCTTTAATAAGCACGACATGTAAATAAAAAGATAAACGTTTTACCGAAGTAAACCCCTACTCCAAGAGTCATAAAGAAAACTTCACCTTTGAGTTACTGAGACGTCTTTCCGGATCTCCTATTTTAAGGATTGTTTAGTCATCCATTATTAAGTGCAACTAGAAAGAATGTACAATGTGCTAACAATGCTTAAAAAAACAGTAGCATGCAATCTTCCAAGGTGAAAAGTAGAACACCCTAATCCGACGGACCAAATATTACCTTACTCATTCATATAATTATTGCTATGCATCTACTTGTCCAGAATGGCAGAAAGTGAACCACTTTTAAAAACGGACATGCAAATATCATTTGTAGAGATGAGACAGGACGTAGAGAGAAAAGAACGCATTTTGATCACAATGACATTCGTAAACAGGAAATGGAAAAGGAAACAAGGAACACGGAATAAAAGAAGTCGTAATAAATAGCCACCGATGAAATTTGTGATGTCTAAATAACTGGATACTAGACAATATAGAGACCTGGCAACAAGTAGTTTTCCATTGTCTGCAATTTGATTTGATCAAGTAAATACGCGTCCTCTGGAGTCTTCCCAATTAGTTGTGCGCAGCTCTACAGAGCGTTACGAAGGTCAAATAAGGAATTTCAGAAGCATCATGTTGCAAAAAACTAGAACAAGCAGATGAATTAAGAAACTAAGAAAGGGAAAAAAAGAAACACGCTTTCAAAAACTAAACGTCGAGTAGAGAAATAGAAGCAAAAAATTTTAATGAGGAGCTAGCACTAAGCTAAATCTCACTTGTCCAGTAGTTAACAAAATGAGTCATCTTGCCGATCATTGTGGATAGGCGTCATTGAGAATCACATTTGGTAGAAACCGATACGCCACCGAAGCACAATCATGAAAAGCATAGATCTAATTACAAGTGATAACCATAAAAACAGGGAAGAGCAAAGCAACCAAAAGTTTCAAGAAAATTTAAAACTTTACCACCACATAGCCTATTTGACAAGCTTCAGGATCTGTTGCCTGCTTTTTGAATGAATTATTACTTACGGCAATCAATAGAAGAACGATTGACTCAAGGACCAAAGGACTCACTAGTTTACTTGAAAATGTCAAAAATCGGAAGTTTTTAATCGATAAACTCGGGATGTCAAAGTTCGTCCGAATATTGCAAATAAATTAAACGACTGCAAAAAGACGGTCGAAAATTGAGTTGCAAATGCAGTCAATAGATAAGGAGGACTTTAAACCCTATTATTAAAAGCACATAGATCATATGATCACTAAACGCTTGAATAAAGCCAAGAAAGGCCAAGTAAAAACTCCTAACCGAAAGGAATATAAAAAGGAGAATAAGGTGCTATTTCTCAAATCCACTCATAAAAATTTACACTCTTTCAGAATGAAATAATTATTTGTAACTTCTTGCGTCCCTGGGCAAACGTTTTATAAACAATTTTAGAAAAAAAAACTGGGAAAATTTCCCTGAAGTGGTATTAAGGAAATGTAGGAAGAAGGTGAAGGGAAAAATAAGAGACAAAAGATCAATTTCAATCAAAAGTTAGAGAGGTAGGAAAAAATTACCTTCACCAAAAAATGACAAGGAAAGCACATTCACAGGAGATTCGCTAATGAATCCATGAGTTATGAATTTCCTGTTTTTCTCTGTTATGCTGTCTCCATCAACTCGTGATTGAATGTAGATATTCACAATCGCAGTTGTATGAGAGCCTTTCAAGGAAGCAAGCAGGACTTTTAACGTATCTTTTCCACTCTCGTTCTTATCTGAAAAATAGCTAAATACATAATTATGCATTAAGAGTAGTATAAATATATCAAAGTTCACATACCTTGTGAATATACCATGGTGTACCTGCTAACGATTGGTGGATGGCCCATATCGTTAACTTGAAGAAAACCAAATGCTTCCAAGTAGAACTGGGGCTCTGTGTAGTTCCGGATATTTATATGCTTCCAAGGACGAATACATGGCGATGGAAGGAGTGAGCAGGAGGCAGAGAGATGCCCAATCGACAAAATTGCCGTTGAACTGATCTCACACGAAGAAAATTTCATCACGCTATCTGCCACTTCATTACAGCCAGTGAGGGACTTATTATCATGATTGTGAAAATCCGTGAAGTTGTACTTCAAGGGCTTTAATCTAAAAGGAACCTTTGACAAGTGAATAGGAAAGCCATTTCATTACTTGACAACCCGAATGATTAATTACAATACACGTAATTTCATCTCTAATAAATTCAGGAATTTTTAACTCATCGTCATTTGTATTAACAAAATCCCTGTAGCCATCAGTGAGAACAACCAGCTAAAAATACAAAATGAAGGTAAAAAAGAAAATGATACCCTAATATGCTGGCAGCTAGTGAATTTAGAATAGGCGCTCTGGACAGAATGAATGAGTGCGTCAGTAAACCTTGTCTTTAAGCAAAGAGGTTCGTTAGGATGAGGACAACTGTCAACTATCTGAAGATTACTGGATCTTGAATCCGAAAATTGTGCAAATTCAAATAGATCCTCGGGAGATTTTATTAACTAAGGCTATAATTATTAGACCATATAACCTACCACGGAAACTAGATCATAAGGATCTTTTGTGTGAATATTACTGATAAGAGATTTTACGATTGATTGAGAATATTCAAAATAGCTTTCTTTTGCGTTCGTGGGTAATTTTCGCAATGACTGAAACGCCCAATCTATTGCAATAAGCCAAGGCATAGTCTGAGCCTAAACCACTGAATTGAAGGAATACGCGAGCTAATTCGGAGTCCAACGACATTCAAGGTCAAAGGCAAAGAGTAAGATGAAAAGAGAGATTTTTATCTTTCATTTGATTTTAATTCTTTAAAGCAACTTTATTGCAAATTTAAATGCTAGAAACTTACTGGTATTTTTTTAAAATAAACAGGTTTATTTTAGTTTGCGTGATTTCCAAAAATGCGATAATTGATTGCTTTAGGAAATCATTATTCGTACAAATTGATTTAGGATTAGTCAAATCATGTTATATTTTAGATATATGTTTACCATTAGCAATGGTTACTTTACAAGAATGATACTTTTCCATCTAGTTATTTCACTTATTGTAAATACTCTTATTAATGGATACATATAATAAAATATTGGTTCAAAAGAATACAAACTACCTATTGGCATAATTATTGTCTGTGTATGTTTTTAATATTGCATACAAATGCAATTAAAGGTATTTTTAATATTCCTCATAGCATATGAATCTGAAAACATACCAATTCTTTATACGAATATTATTTTTTATCAGCGTTAAAATTGTAATATTTTTAACATTTGTAAATAAATGAAAGCAAGTTAATGAATTATATCTAAATGATATTTCTCAAAACTGGCAAGGTTTAGAAGTTTATTGAGTATATTTTACAGTTAACTAAAAAACTGACGACTTTCATTCCATTCCTTCGGTATATAAATGCTAGCAGTCATCATTCCTATTCGTGCTTGAATAATTATAATCATTACATGGTATAAGGTCCCTCTTTGTGACTGTATTGGAAGAGGAAATACTTCGACATTTCTATATGATCATCTAAGGGTAAAGTAATGGGATTATGAAAAGCTAACAGATGTCAATGAATAGTTTTAGCAATGTATAGCTTATATCAAATTATTTGCTATGTGTACTTTATACCTGAGTAACTACATACAGTTGATACTTCGTCTTTTACCAATATTTAGTGTCCTTATAATGCTCTACTATCTTCAAACTCTTGGAAGAGAAAATAGAAAGCCTCAGTTCAAACAAAAATCTACTAGGAGAAAACGAATACTCTCACAAAGAATGGAAAAGGGTCAAAGGACTGGCAGACAGGTTGAACAATTACGACAGTAACGGCTTTTGCAATGATTATCTTTCGTATCTAAGGTAAAGCTAAAATAATATTTGTTTAATTAAATTAGGGATGAAGATAAGAGCGCACAGGGATTCTAAAGCCACTCAATTTTATGTTTGATTTTCAAAGATAAATTCGAGTTTTAATTGGTAGTACTGTTGTTGGCACTAAGAATCATCCGATTGCTAGACTTTGCAATTCCGCTTCATTTCTCAGCATACGGCACAAATTTTGAAATTATTGCTTTTTACCGTATATATATATATATATATATATATATATATCTTCTAACTAACCTAGATTTCACTTTGAATGCCTGTTTTAATTTCACTTTACTCTTTCCCAAAAGCATACACTCCTAGTTGGAGTGTCACTTTTGGTATAATTGTGAACTGCAGCTACTGATTAGATTCTGATTAAATCCCTAATCATAAAAGTCACTGGTCTAAGCTCTTCGAAGAAGGAATAATGATTTCTTACCATCTATCTATTTTTGGGGGATCTATTTCGAATGTCCTTATCTGAGAGATATTAAACTAGGGGTTTCCATGACAGACTAATTATTCGAAAGTAATGTTCGATTTTCTTGCATATGTAAATAAATGCTGTGTGTGTGTCATTCAGCACTGCAGTCATTGGGAATATTTGAAGGCAAAAGTTTATTGAATGGCTTCTACATTTACTTCAGTTAAGATAGTACGAAGAATTAATATATTTGTAATAATTCAAATGATCATATAATAAATTAAAACGTCTAAATCTAATAGCATGCGTTGTGTAAGAGCCATCAGTTTATAAAAGGGAAAGACATTTTTAAAACCAACAGGGCAGGAAAGATTTCCTTCAAAATGAAATGACAAATAGTTGGACCACTGATATATTTGAATGAGTTTGGAGAAAGAAAGGAGCAACAAGAGGAATTAGGAGGAGGGTAAGTGGAACTCGGGTTGAGATGGTGAGGAGAATCGTGGTACAATGAGCGAGAGAGTTAACTTTTCCTAATCCTTATTCGTTGATGAGCTACCAATAGAATTTAACATTGAAAGTTACTTTTTGATGCCATCTTTTCTGCAAACAATAACTATTTATTTCATAACCATGGAGATGAAATAAATACTGCACAGTTCTAACATCTAACGTCATTCAAAATGCCTACTTTCTTCTAGTGCCAAACAAATAAGAAATTTAGGTTTCTAAAAACATAAGAGAATACAAATTCCATTCACTAGTTTGTTGAAGTAAATTGGAATAGAATTTACTATTCTCAAGTGCCTCAAATTAAAAGGAACCAAAAAATATGAGAACGATAGGCATACATCTGTCTGCCCGTCTGTATGTTAGAAGAAGGCCCAAGAATTCTGATTAGTCATTGATTTAGTCAGAGTCCGTACAGTCGCTCTTACCCGCATAGATTCTAGTGTGAGCCCAGATTGAGAACGCAACACAGCGTTGCATTGGCCATTGACTGTCATCTTCATTTTCCTCGATCTGTGCAAAGGATTAACCTCTGTTTGCTTCTTGCTTCCTATTTTCAGCGTTCACGTAGCCCATTCATATGAAATTTTTTTATCTTGGGTCACCACTGTAAGTGACCTTCCACAAAGAGAGAACTAATGGACTCTATGACATCTGTGTCCACCAAGTGATCAGCCAAGTGCGTTAGCCAAGTCTACCCAGTAAGGGAAATAGCAGAATTTGAGTTCATCACATTCGTAGATGGATAATAGAACCTTCCTAATAAGAGTGAGTGCTGAAAATGAGTTTCTAAATGAGTTATTCTGAGTTATAAGTGCATTATATTAGGATCGTACCAATCAAGCCTGATATCATCTGGTAGTTAGGCTTTATCTAGTAATTATGATGGCTAAAGCATGTACTTCAAAACAATCATTATTGGACCGACTATTATTGAATGCCCTTTTGGTTAAATGAAGATTTCCACCACTGTGCAATAACTGAAAGCTAGGATGAAACATCCATGACACTTTTTTAAAGGAACACAAACTTTTACAGACTAATTGCGGTTTAAGTCACAAATAATAGGTAGAGTGTCAATGTATTGAATATCACCCGACAAAACATAAGCACTACATTCATGATCTTTGTCTTGTGTGGGATATCAGTAAATTTGTGGGCTTCATAATTGATGAAATGCGTAAAGGGAAATTAATCACACTGAACATCAAGTCAGTCTCTCATAGAATAGGTAAACAAAGACGTAAGCTTTTGAGTTATCAAAATGGCAAAAAATGCAGCTCAAAAGCGCAATCAGTCACGTGTGATCCAGTGCCAATGGATCACCAGGGGGGTGGGGAATTTATTAACGCCTCCATATGTGCAAAATTCAGTCAAATGTACCGTTACAATAAATTTATTGAAAATTGAGATACCTTATCGGTAAAACTGAGCCTTTGCTAATTAGAGAAAGGGTGTAAGTTGTTAGCGGTTAGATCTTGACTTCATTAATCAACCTATTGCTAGTATTAATACTGGACAGGAAGGGGTGTGCGATAGACTTACCTCCACGTGGTGCTCCCTGAGTAACGTATACTCATACGGTAAAAAGTCTATCAACCGGCAGTTGACTTCTAACTTCAAACTACCATCACCCCACTGTGTGTCATATTCAACTACTTCTACAATACTCACCTCACCTTTTTTTCTATCTTTTCTACCTTCGTCTTTGAAATACTCTTTTGTCCCCCCCCCCCCTCGACTATTTTTCACTTTGATGTTCCTTCCCCTCTGTGAACCCAAAAGTCAATTAAAGTGCTTATGTTAACCATCAGAACGCCTACCATTTGATATAAATAAATATTGGAGAGAAAAAAAATAAATTTACCTAAGTTTCTAGCACCGTATAAACAAAGAAATAAATAAGGCTGGGGCTGATAGTTGTCATTGGAAGATGGTGGGGAAAGGAATTGTAGTCCAACTGAATAGTAAATGAATGTTTGCACATTTTTCATGTAAGATTGGATCCCTATTGATCAAAGCTGTGGACGGAGCTACGAACACTCATCGACGCCTTGTTGCTCGAAGAAGCATCAGTTTCCCTCAATGATGCAATTGACTTTTTTGCAAAATTCTCCGGAAAATATATCACTTTAACGTATCTATGATATTCATATAAGATATCAACTTCTACTACAGAATACCACTCGGTAACAGTTGACAGTTCATAACAATCACGCTGTCAGTGTTGACATACGCAATCATATCAATAACGTGGATTGATGACTTAAAGGCGTTCTGTGAGAAATGATGGTCCCGTGAAAAAATAACAACAACTATGACGCCTTGCGTTTTGTTTATCGGCTTCCTAAAAGTATTAGTTATAGAACTTAAAATCTACATGTAAATGTTTAATATTACAATTTGGTATAAAGTCTACTTTTAGGCAATAAATATATCCAAAAAATCTAATCAATTCCGTATTAATTAAAACAATAGTGATCGGTTGATAACCTATGATGTGGAATAATTCTGATCAATAGAGAGGGTTTAAGGGAATATGAGTGTCCCTGTAAAGCGAATACATGACATCTTCGTCAAGTTTAATTCAAACGAGAGTACTCAGACACTTCGCATTTTTGAAATACTCAAAACGCCAATGACTTCGAGAGGATATATTTAAGTAGTCATTATTTAATCATTACTTGTAGCTCGTTATTTTCAACCTCTTAGTCACAAACTTTCAAAACGTTCTTCTATGAATAAAAGCTCTGATTCATATTTCAGTGCCGAATGCCACTTCACAGGGAATGGATAATTACAGACACGCAACCTCAAGTCAATATTATGGTCCCGTTAAACATGTGGGACCAATTGCAATAGATTAAATAGGTCATT